ATTATAAATAACTCATGAGATTTTACCAAACTATCCTACGTTCAAAAAATTTGCGGCCCGCCCTGATTTTCCGATGGCGCCAGCGAGCGTCACCAATTCGTACAGATACATCATAGTAAGAGAGTGCTCCATTGTGAATAAAATACTGCTGTTAATGTTTCACTGCTTTTAATTGACTTTTGGCAAACTAGGTTTCGGCAAACTGGGATTCATGGTTTTTGAGTCGGCAAACTGGTATTCGGCAAACTGGGATTCTGCAAAGTGGTCTTGGCAATCTGGCATTCGGCAAACTGGATTTCGACAATCTGGCATAGATCCGTTCTCATACCTCCTCCACTTCTGCTCTCCTGCTGGTGATGAATCATACTTATAGCAGCTCTTTCCTACCTCCAAGCATGCATATACAATGCAATACAATTCATTGTCCGCTTACCCAGTTGGTTTTTCAGGATTGTCTTGTGCACCATTATAACCTTGAATCTTCAACCCTGAATCCATCCGAAAACTTTCACTGAGTTGATCACTACCCTCTGAATTATTCTAAAACAGAAAGAATACATGAACTCTATTATCACTATCAACATCATCATCACCACCACCACCACCAGTCTTCAGTAGCACCAGCACTGCCATAACTGACAGCAACACCACTATTATCATTATCTACCACATTCATTGAATTTCTTTTCATATATAATTTTTAACCAGAATCATACTAATTTATGATTTCAAACTTACTGCTTTGATGTATGATGATGCTTTCTTGCGTTTTGAGCCCAATCTCTTTACTAAATTCTCATCTTCACGGAATTTGATAAGAAAAATGGTGAGAGGTGGAAAAGCAGCACACAGGATTAACTGTCAATACAAAAATAACACGTCATTGGAGGAAAAACTACCTGGTTATTCTTCCAGGGCAACATTAACTCTGTTAACAAGGAAATAACTATACGATTAAGATCGTGATCTGGTCGAGAACTAGGTTTGTTCAATATACACTCATGGAAATCAAGCTTTGTAATTCGCTTTTTTGCCGGTGAACGCTGTCTACTTTGTCCTAATTCATATCTACCGATACACCACACCAGTGTGTCAGATAGTGAAGTTTTGTGGAAAATTGGACTAGAATCCTGTTTTAAAATACAAGGTTTAGCCAGGCCCAGCGCTGGTTCTCATATCTTCATAGGAACAGGACCAGTGCCTACCAGATAACCCATGCAATCACATGTACCATTTTTGGTAAAAAAAAAAACACTCTTTCCCTAGATCCATCTTGGTCTCTTAAAAAATGTGATCTAAAAGTTACCGACTCTTTAACTTATCTTGGTGTTTTTCTATCAAGTGATCCTAAATCATCAAAACATGTTCAGGATAGGGTTAGGAAATTTTAAAAGGCTGTTTACTTGCTCCAATGTATCGGAATGTATACAAATGTTAAGTCTCATATTTGGAAATCTATCATGCTTCCTATCCTAGTGTACGGGTGTCAATGTTTGAGTGTTAATAATATTAATGTCATGCACACATTCGAAACAACATGCACCAGGAACACTTTAAAAGGCAGCCATTTGTAATTGTAATTTTCTATGGTATTTTCTATGTGTAATTTTTTAACAAATTGAATATTTCTTATTTAACAATGAAAGTAGTTATAGTATTATTATATAGTAGTACAGGCAGCTTCAATTAAAAGGTGGGGGGGGGGGGTGTTATTCAAAAATTAGAATATCTTATAGCGTATAAAAGCAGTAGGTCTTAGTTTGACCACTTTTTCTCAAATACATGTATACTATAATTAACACACACCCCCCACACACACATATAGCTGTCTCTTATACACATCTAGATGTGTATAAGAGACAGGTATTAACTATGATTATACTGTACTTTAAGAATATTCTGACTTTAGAAAAAAATCTGCAACACTTTAAAAAAAAATGGTATAATAGTAGGTCAACATTTGGGTCCAATTAATATTAGATCACAAACGAATATAGCAAAGTTAATCACGGTTGCAGACTATCATACTCAGCATGTTCATGTTTTTGTATCTTCAATATATTGGCCTATCACTGTGAACATGTTTTATGTATAGCGCAAATGATTTTCTCAGACGATCTGTTTATTCATTCAGGCATCTTTGGAAAATTTGGGTCATCTTATCTTTCTAATCATGCATTTTAATGTAGGAAGCAACATCATTATGTTTGCGAATCAATGATGTCAGTGAAACAAAATATCGGGTATTACACATATGATACTTGTCTCTTAATCAATTGCTGTATGAGAATATTTTTTTTAAGGCAGAATATATTAAACATTAATTGATCTTAAAAAAACTGAATGAATATTGAAAGCGAAAAAGAACCTAATTTGTATCAAGAGGTAAAGGAACTATAGTGAGGTGTGTGACAATGCATAGGAGCATGGCCCATTTAGGTGGGAGTGGAAAAAGATGGGAGAGACAGAATACAAGACGTATCGTAAAACCAGGGAGTGCCACCTATGTTGTAATAAATGTGGGTGCGGTACATTGGAGTTTAATAGATGTTGCATGTAGAGGTGGATTTTATAAAGATGGTCGTGCGTATTCTTACACACCCACCTTCAACGCAGGACGGGTACGCTTTTATAATAAGTGAACAACTTGGCAATTTTAATGATCACAACATATTTTAAATCATTTTCATTTTGGCATAATAATACACTGTGTAAATTTGATAGGAAAAACTTTATTAAACGATCTCCTCACACTACAAATTGCAGCAATGCGTCGCATATCAAACAACAGATACAGATCGTGTTTGTGTGTTCTGCCAAAAAAATCTCTCTACACAATCGTCATGAGATCACCGTTACAAAATTTTGCCTCTTAGAATACACAGAAGACAACATTTTCGCTAGGAATTCTGGGTGCGAATTTTAGAGATTGAAGGTTAAGACCAACTCAGACAGCGTCGTACGACGCAGCTCGACGCGATTTGTTGTCGCGTTTGGTCAGTGTGAGTTAAACGCAGTCGCAATGGTTTGCGTTGGGGGCAGTCGCGTCGTAGATTATTAAACATCAACTTTGCGTTCTGCTGCTGCCAGGCGTGAAACTCAAAAAGAACAGTAAGGAAATGAGCAAACTTCAACCTATGGTCTAACCATAACAGGGTTGCCGCGTAAGTGTAACGTGAAAGTAGTTGAGTTTATTACTGAAATATTTTACGTAATATTGCCCATTAGAATTATTAAAATAAATTAGACGGTAGTTAGTTATCTCTAGAAGCATAGGGTATATAATTGCTGAAGGGAATTTATTCGATTCGGTTGTATTCTCGCAGCAAGATAATTTTAGGCCATGCGACAGCTCTAGTAACGCTGATAGTCGCGCGTTTGTCGCCGGGAGAGAAGTTGGAAAATCACGCCCTCACTTTTTAAGCCGTGATCAAGCAGATTCTTTACGCCTTTCATAGGCAATACACGCCTTAGTAATGAAGCCAATTTTATGCCCGATAACATAAATATTACAGGGCTGGCGAAACGTTTTTCAATTTTTTTATTTTTTTTATATAATATATATATATAAAAATATATATATATATATATATATAATGTAAAAACAATGAAAAAAAACAGTGTACAATCATTGAAAGTTGACTTGCGGAACACATATTCATTCAACTATAATAAAATCAAACGGATATTTCGATAGCTCGATCCTGCTATCTTTACCAACGACGTCACCATTTTGATATAGCACTAATATTGCAAGTGAGTAGACTGCCAAAGATCTATAAGATGTATTCTCTCTCTCTATATATATATGAAAAAACGGTGTACAATCATTGGAAGTTGACTTGAGGAACACAAATTCATTCTACTATAATAAAATCAAACGGATATTTTGATAGCTCCTGTTATCTACGAAGCCAAGGAAAGAATGCAATATTTTTGCCTTATACATAATTGAATGACCTTAAATGACCTATTTATGACTATAATCTCCTGATCATGTCAGAAATTATACAATTGTATTGTTTACTATGTACAGTACACATAAAACATACACATTCTTAACATTAATATAGGCTTTACATGATGGTTATCTAGAAATTTAAAATGGCTGCTAAATGACATTGATCTAATGAAGTCGAATGATTTTAAAATGGCTGCTATAATGACTTCATATCAAAATAATCGAATTCTGTGAGCTTAAGTAAAATATTTACAGTAAAAAGTAAAAAAGAATTATAATTTGAAGTGGTTCAGAAGCGGAGATATATAAGATAAATATATGTTTACATGGTGGCCATTTTAAAATCCAAGTTGGCGCCCGCTTTTATAAGATATTAGCATTATTCTATAAAGTACTACATGCATTGGTTGCTAATATTAAAAACCTTAGTGGCGATCTAAAAAATTACAAGTTTATTCATTATTTATTTACGATTTTTTTCTCATATTTTTATTTATTTTATCGGCCATTTTGAATAAAACGCATTTCCACATATTTCCCCTACCTGGATTTTCTAGACTTTTATTATGTTCAAATAGGCACCGTATAGAAATGCACTGTGGTAAAATAAATTCTGTTGCAATTTTTTCAACCTTTCACTAAATTTTACGCTAACTTTCTTGTACTACACTGGCTATGTTCTCACGGCAGCTAACGGTTAGCAGGATCCGGATCTTACTAACCGTTAGCTGCCGTGCGTCCATGTGAGAAAATCCCGATCCGGATACCAACAATATGATGATCGAATCAATGGCCAATAAGAAACTGGAAATTGTAAACTCGTACGTGTGATTGGTTGATGATAGAAACGCCCTCAACTTGCTAACCGATAGCGCTTGCTAACCGTTAGCGTATCCGAATACTGCTAACGGTTAGCGCTAACCGATCGGGCGTTCTCACGCAGGTGCTAACGGTTAGAGCTAACGGTTAGCTCCCAATCCGGATACTAGGGCTCTCGTGAGAACCAGGCTAAAGTCCTTCGGATGAGACGTTTAAGCCGTTGGTCCCGTGGGCATTATGACCCATGTGCACGTTAAAGAACGCAGTACTCTTCGGAAAAGAGTAGGGGGTTGTCTCCCGGTGTACTGCCCAATCACCACCAGAAGGACCCCACTGGAGATAAGTCTTCTTTTAGACTTTCGTGGGTCATCCTTGGTGTTTACACCGAATAAATCCAATCCAATCCAATCCTTTACATAAGCATAAATTATAATATGATATAATGACTCTTGTTAACAAAGAAAAGATAATCGTAGGTCTGGTTGAAAAGACCCATTTTATGTAGTGTCATTAGCAAGGATGTTTTGTTTGTAGCTGCAAACATGTTTCGTTGTTATACCAACAACATCGTCAGACAATATCACGCAATTGATATGCACTGATGATGTTGTTGATATAACAACAAAACATGTTTGCAGCTACAGGCCTAAATACAGCAATGAATAAATCAATCCTTATCAAGTTTAAGTTTATTTTACTCCTTCTTTCTGTTCGTAAGTTTGGCAACATTAGGCCTATAGAGGACTTCCAACAAAATACTACAGTGTCGAAATTATTATTATTATTATTATTATTATTATTATTATTATTATTATTATTATTATTATTAATAATAATATTATCATTTTCTAATATTTTATATTATTTATTTCTATTCAATTTAAAAAAAAAAACTGGCTGGGTTGGAGGAGTTAAAGATAAATTCCATCATAGCCGATTTTTATGATTGAGCTTCAGACTGGCTATCCCCCCACCCTGAAGAGTATAATATGTACACTATCCTCTTTAGCGTACAGCACTGTACCTTTCCACCAGACAATACGACTTAGCCTATTCTTGTCAATGCATACGTACGGACAACGATAGAGCCAAATAAACTGTTGTTTGCGATAATTTAATTACAATTCTCTCTGACGATTATGATGCACTGTAGGCATTCGATTGCCAAGGCTTCTCGACCAGAATTTCCAATTTTTATTGCCATGCACGATCGCGTTAGCATGAGTTGTGCATGCTTAATTGTTGCATAAAAAAGTTCGATTTTTTCCCATTCCTATGTCATACCCTCTTCGCAGACGCTGCGTTTCGTTCCTGAGACTCTTTTTGATAACTGCGCATGCTCGACATGGCTCGACAACGTCACTTACTCAGTGCACATGCTCAATGGCTGTCTAGCCTTTCCAAGCGCATATTTACTGCGTGTTTTTTTTTTTCTATATATATTTAACGGATGTTCTTTGGTAACTGCGCTTGAACATTGATTAGTTCGGAATTCCCATTCCTACACCTACAGTTTCTTAATGTGTGTTTTCTCTTGATCGTAGCAGCCTAAAGGTGCGACGTGAAAAGTTGGGATATTATGTAACTGAATATGCTAAACCAGTTCTTAAATTGTATATTATATATAATCGGTAAAACATGTCCTTTAATGTTCCAAAATGCACTACTTGTACTTCACAAGGAGACAAAAGCTTATCTTGCACAATTTTTAAGACCTCAGATTTTTCTGCATTTTCAAGCTCCTTTAAATGAAACTTACTCTGTAAATTGAATTTTCTTTTGAAATTTTTCCCATCCAGATTTCTGACAACAGATTCTGGACTCCTTGCTGACTGACAAACTTCTTCATCTTGCCATGGAACGCCAAACTCAAACATGTAGCAAGTCCCCACTGGGGAAGCTCCCGAACCAGAATAGCAGAGGTCCGCTCTTCATCACTTTTGTAACACTCATTCAGAACTCCAATGGCGTAGTCTTCAAATTCACTAGTGAGATTGAACAGCAAAGAATATTATATTATTAATATGTTTTTAGACTGAGGTTAGTGTTTCATGTGGGTTGCGACAGTGGTTGGGCCGGCTGCGATTTTTTTTCCTGGACGTTTGAGGTAGTGGCAATTAGTGGCGCTATCGTTTCAAAATACCACCTTCCTGATTCGGCAATAAACTTATGAATATTTATTAGCAGTTTGTTATTATCAACAGAGTGGACTTGAAATATGCGATGCGACAGGCAAAGCTCAATTAGTATGTTACTATTCATTATGCAGGTGTAGGTTTCACTGACAAGCCTATGATGAAGAGTCCAGTAGTAGTTGAACACCACAGACTTGAACCCCCTTTTTATTATAATTCTTAAATATATATTTTATAAATGAATATTGATTAGGCTATGACTACAAAATAAATTGTATAGGTCTGGCCTAGACCTTTTTTTTAAGATTGTCACTCAGTCACACGTAGTTGCACAATGAAATTTGTCACCTTTCATCTTAAGGAGCTATAACTAATTAAAAATAGGCATGATTTTAAGCATATTTTAATTTTGCCGCATGCGTACGCACGCTATGACGCGCGCACAGAAAATTAAGGTACATGACATTCAACCTTGACTTGAAGTTTACGCCCACTGAATATGATTCAGAAATGACGACTGGTTAGGATGACATGGGGTCATGAAAGGTTTGAGGAAGGGAAGATAAGAGAGGTAAGAAAAAACATTTATTTTGATTATAATGACGTCATCAAAATGTAAAAAGGAGTCACATATATGAAAGAGAATTGTCTCTCAGCTTTAACTTAGGCTACTCAAAGTTGGGAGACGATCAATCAAGGATAAGCGAGATACGCTCAAATGCGTATTTTTAAAAATGACGTCATAGATAAAATTCAGTTTCTTTGAATTCAGATGGCAATATGATGACGTCACCATGTCCGATCAGTCATTATGATCTATAAAATCATATTTACAACTCATCTGCTTTCAGAATATGTAATTAAAATTGGGGGTTATCATTCATCCTAAGGATCTATAACTGATTAAATGCAGGGATTTTAAAATTATAAAAAAAATAGTGCCCAAAATTGTTTACAAAAATGTAGTGCAATAATAGCATATTGACTACTATTGTATATTTTCGGATAATATTTCAGCCGCTCCAAATATCTTTCCTATTTTTCCTTCTTCCTTTATTCTTTCACAATTTTGCGGGGTTTTTTTTTCCCATATTTTTCATAATTTTATACACTCACATATAGTCATTTGTTTAGGCCTAGGCTAGTCTAGGCTAGACCTCGGCTATGCCTATTACTATATTATTTAAATAAACAATTTTAATAGAAAGATAAATTTAACATGGACATAGTAATTCATACTTAAACAATACATTATATTTAAATATTATTATAATAACGTTAATGAATAAATAACAATAACTAAAACGTGTACATAGTATCACTACTACAATAATAAGATTAACATTTTCAATCTCATAATAAATTGTATACAGAAGGTGTTATGTATTGACCTAGGCTACTATGGTTAATGACAGGTACGCTTTCACCATTAAAGGCTTTTTCTATGAATGGAATGACCTGTACGAAACACGAGCTCCTGTAGACCAAACCCAGTACCGTTACGATTTTAATCGTACGGGAAATATCCTCAAGAACTTGATAAATGATGGTGAGGGCGTTATCTTGTCGACAAGTTCAGCGAGTGATGCGCGAAATTACAATTACCGCGTTGAAATAATGGACGATTCCGTTGTTCATTTGGCATTTTACATCGTTTGGAAAGTACGTTGTTCGTTTGGCAATGTACATTGTTTGTTTGGCATGGAACTTCTTCGTTTCACAATGTACGTTCTTCGTTTGAGAGAATACATCGTTTGGCAATATACGTTGTTTGTTTTAAAAAGAACGTTCTTTGTTTGTAAAAGTATGTTGTTTATTTTTAAAAATACATTGTATATTCGTAAATGTACGTTGTTTGTTTGAGAAAGCACGTTTATTGTCTAAAATTGTATTTTTGTCGGTGATTGCCTTCCATACATAAGGCTATTTCAAGTTAGACGGTTCCTATCCTGGTAATAGTTAAAAGTCCTTGGTTGGGGTGGATGCAGAGAGCCGAGAGCGGGAATAAATACAGTAGACTTGCTCATGTCGTATGTTTTCACGACGTGAGTAAGATTGAAAAGAAAGCAATACGGTAGGTATTTCCAACTCTAATCACTGTTTTTGAAAAGTTAACACAGTGATTCAGTAATATATTTAATGATTGAAATACATACCAACTTAAATTACGTTTATTAACAGACAGTAATTATAATCTAGCAATTATTTACGAACAACAAACCTCCGTGGTTCATGCGACCCAATTCGGGGTTTTCCCATGTGCGTTGATTTGACGTCGATTCGATCGTGTGTGTTGCTCAATAAATAGAAACAATACTAAGCCTACGCACAGCTACGGTAGCCCATAAGTTCATGGCAATATCAATTTGCTCACGGCAATATAAACTTTTGAATTTGGCTCACGGCAATATAAACTTTTGCCCACGGCAATATCAATTTGCCTTACGGCAATATAAACTTTTGCCCACGGCAATATCAATTTGGTTCACGGCAATATAAACTTTTGTCCACGGCAATATCAATTTCCCTTACGGCAATATAAACTTTTGCCCACGGGAATATCAATTTGGTTCACGGCAATATAAACTTTTTCCCACGGCAATGTCAATTTGCCTCACGGCAATATAAACTTTTGCCCACGGCAATATCAATTTCGTTCACAGCGACATAAACTTTTGCCTACGGCAATATCAATTTGCCTTACGGCAATATAAACTTTTGGCCACGGCAATATCCATTTGGTTCACGGCAATATAAACTTTTGCCCACGGCATGCAATATCAATTTGCCTCACGGCAATATAAACTTTTGGCCACGACAATATCAATTTGGTTCACGGCAATATAAACTTTTGCACACGGCAATATCAATTTGCCTCACGGCAATATAAACTTTTGGCCACGGTAATATCAATTTGGTTCACGGCAATATAAACTTTTGCCCACGGCAATATCAATTTGGTTCATGGCAATATAAACTTTTGCCCACGGCAATATCAATTTGCCTCACGGCAATATAAATTTTGGTGAAAATGGAGCTCTTTTGGTAAAAGAAATTTAATAATATTAATACAGGTCTAACTCTAATTACCTAAGACCACTTTTTGGACCGGGATTTCCATGGCCTACCTAGCTACCTAGCATAGCCTATATCCGCTTTTTAGTCTCTAATTAGAATAATAAAGCCGATTTTTTGAATTCGATCCAACTCGGCCACAAGTCAACTCGGCCACAGTCAACTCGGCCACAAGTCAACTCGGCCACAAATCAACTCGGCCACAAAAAGTTCGGCTGCAGTCAACTCGGCCACAAGTCAACTCGGCCACAAGTCAACTCGGCCACAAGTTAACTCTGCCACAAGTCAACTCGGCCACAATAATATTGCTGTTATTATTGGTGTCATTGTTATTATTATTGTTGTTTTTATTACCGTTAGTTTTAATATTAATTAGTAGCCTTAGCATTAACATTATGTATTGTTTAAATTTTTGCTGATATTATTATTGTTACC